TGATCCCCCACACAAGCAGGCCGATATTTGATCTTGATCAAGATAAAATTTGGATGTATTATTGATCAAAATCAATGGACAGGATGATTTATTTGTAAAAGCAATTTTGTTAATTAAAGGTGAAGTTTCAGTCGTGAATGGTTCTCCCCGGCACCAATAGGCTGATCTGGAAATATTTTTAAAAGTTAATTTTTATCTGCAAAATAAAATAATATCACCTTTGTAAGATTTCGTATCCATGAGTAATCTAGTACAGTGTTTAATTTTTATTGGGTTTATAACTTCGTTAAGTGTGTGTTAGTGATATCGTATTCGTGAACAATTCAAATAAAACTACGTAGATTTTAAAATCTGATAATGAGTTAGTTATATATAAAATTGTAAGCAATTTGGCTACCAGCTATGATGACTTAATTTTGTAGAGAAGTTTTATATATACACATTGATTTGCTTAATTTGGTATTTCTTCAACTCATTCACCCCTTAAATTTCAAAATGAACTGTTCCATCCTTTGAATTGGAAGAGTTCAAATGTGTCTTTAGGGTGAATGAGCTAATGATGTATTGAAGGTAAAATCAAATCAAATGTGTTTAGTCATATGATTTATCTGTTATATTAGCAGTGCCTTATTCATTATCACAGATTTGATATTGAAGAGCACAAGTTTGGTTCCTTGCCTTTTTCTGTAAAAAATAAACCCTTGTTAATTCTACTAGTTCATGATAATTCTGCTCATTACCCCCCACCCCCACCCCCACCCAACCCACGTCCAGCATCACTCCAGTCCCCCTCTCCCACCACCACCATCATCACATCACCCCTATCCCAACCCACTCTCCAGCTCTAATAGTTCAATTTTATCTTTACAAAAACATGAACCAGAAACTAAAATAGAAAATGTCAAAAGGTTAATTTCTGTAATGGTATAAAACAAATTTCATTATTTGGGAGGAAATGAAGGTATAATAAACAATTATTCTTGGAAATTAAGTTGATGAAATGAAAAAATTCATAACCAAGATTTGAAATGACTGAGTGAAAAAAAACCTTCAGTGTCGTCTAGTATGTGGGTACCATGTAGTACAATTATTGACCTCACCCTGGTTTCCTTACTACAGTATGGGTAACTCGTCGGGGGAATGGGAAAGGTAGGGTTAAGGGTGCCATGTATGACGCAAAGTTTCATAGAAACAGAAAATGTGGAAAATCAAGTTTATGAGTCATTGTATTTTGTGTTGGGGACCGTCGAGGAAATGCAATGAACCTTTCCTTATTTATCTTAAAGAGAAGGGACAAGTTGGACGACACTGGGCTGGATATTGGTTATGGCAGTGAGTTAAGTATTTCACCTATTGCCTTAATCCAACATATTACATATATGTAAACAACCCACCCACCTGCTCACGTTTGTTTGATCTTCGCCATTCGTACAAACCCATTGGTTATTATCTAGTCACATGTAGCTGTAATATTATTTTTTGGATCACTTATTTTGATTTTTTTGCCCCGGAACCTCTATTACAAAAGAACAAAAATTGGTCCAACATCAAATGTTCTGATAGCAAACAGAGTCGGCCGGTACATCCTTATCAGAGGTTTCAGATATTGGAAAATTGTGGCCAATTTATAACTGTTTAATGAGGGTTATCGGTCGTCTGCCAGTGTCCCGGAACAGCTACGGAACATCATGCACCTATACAGGATATACTGGCTTTGATATGTATTTAATTTATTATTTGATTTGAAGAGTGTTTTCATGGTAAGATAAAAATGTCAGGTTTTTGATGTGTTTTGTAATTTACGCTGCAATACTAGTCTTAAAAATATAGAGGATTAATAATTCTTCTTGGAAGTTTTATACTGGCCTCCTGACTGGCGAAAGGGGAAGTGGATGTATTTTACAAGAAGGCAGTTTGTTTATATTGGAGAAAACCTAGAATTTTTCAAGTTTTGAGGAAACGGTGAAATATTTAAACATCAGTAGATGATATTCTGAACATTTTTCCATCAACTAAAGGATGTTTTTGACACATGTATTTAGTCTTTGTAAATGAGAAAGATATAATAGATATTCAACAGTCAAAATACTGAATTTTTATCCTTGACAGCATTCCATGTGTATATACAGCCACAGGAATTTTCCTCCTCAGTTGTTTACTACAAATTCCATTTTGTATTTAATTTGAAGAGGATTATACTTATACAAACCTTTAGTCCTTGGAGAGGATTTTCTACTTCATGTGATCTGTTTATCTGTTATTTTAGATGTAAACATCTGGAACAGATTTTGTTTAAGTAAAAAGATCGCTGAAATATTTAAAGTTTTCGTACGGTGCCTTATATTCACTGTAATAATAACAAGTAGTCACAGACGTTCATCCACCTGTTAAATAATTAGCATTTCTGAAAAGTTCGGAGCTAAAAGGTGATCCACGTGTGTTTTCATCCGTAAAATGAGGTAAACATTTTTTTGAAAAATTCTGACTCACTGCGATGATTGATGAGATTTTTAATGTTTTCGTGACGAAATTAAAACTCCACGGATGACGAAAGAAAAAGATGACAATTTTACGTGTATACCCAGTTCGCTCGTAAGGTGTAAATCAACTATGTGATATTACTTTTATACAACTACTTTGATTTGCCGGAATTCCATAATATTTATGATACATATGTTTGTGTACGTCGAGGGTGGGCATGAAATAGTGGATGTTTTCCACAAAGGAAACCGGGAGATCAGGTTTAGATCTGTGATGGTGTGATGCTATCGCACCACGAAGAAACAGTAAAAGCGGAACAGTTTTACAATATCTCGACACTCATCAGATAATGGAGTGAAAAAACGTCTTCATTTAAATTTGGATTTAATCACTTGTGTACACACGACAATATTGTGATGTAAATAGAAACATGGGATCTTCTACAGGGCTCTGTGAGTCAGGTAGGGCATTAAACACTGTATAATATCTTGATATGTTTAACAAAATATTATTATAACGCTCAACAAGTGTCAAGGAATGTTTACATCCATCTTGTAGGTTTCAGGAGGTGGTTTCAGGAGGATACACCTAAGTGTATAGCGAAGCCCTTTTATGGTAAAGCAAAGAGATTAAACAAAAGGAAATAATCAGCTTCTGAACCCGGATAAGCATTGGAAACCTTCAGGCTTGACTATAGCTTTGATAAATCATTTTTGGAAAGAAAGCCATACTTTGCAGAAGTAAAATGTAATCAACATTCAGTGTTCTGGGTGTAAAATTTCAGTGGTGCAGACCGGGATTCCAACCCAGGACTTCAGATTGTTTTACTATTGTTCTCACCGATTGAGTTATTTGGTCAATGAAAGTGTCAACTGTATGCGTGCTAGGGGAGGTTACTGTTTATACGAAAAACCACAGTGTGGTAAGACAGGGATCTTTGAATTTCATAAAAGTAAGAGAGTATGGAGACAAGTTTGAAATTCTCTTTATCATATACTTATAACTACAGAATGTTCCAAATCACTGTGTAACTAAGTTGAAAAAATTGATGAGAAACACCACCAGTTTACCTTAAAATGCTACGTATTTGTGACGTCATTGTTACGTTTTTAAAACGTCATAGTTGGTGGAATTACACATTATGGACTGGAAATATCATCTGTTACAGAGTTTCTATTACACTTTACAGCAGCTTGAGGTTACGATAAGAATGATTCAAGGCCTTGCACGGCCTCTATAAAATCTCCAAATGTTTATAACATTCGCATATATGAACACTGCTGTGCTGTAGGCTTAAAAGACTATACTGTATACATACAACCTTAATGTGAATGTCAGACCTCGCATGTATTCTGCAAAATAAAACATGAAATGCTTGTAACTTTGATAGAAATAGCATATCATATTGGCTAAACGCATGTCGATAGACTTAAAAACGTTAACAATTGATCCCAGATCCATTACATCATGGGAGTTTCTGAAGTGCTTTTGCACAGCGCGTCTTGACAGATAATGAATAATTTCTGCTTTTAGAATGTTGCCTGTCTCACTTATAAAATTTCACATATGATTTTTCTTTCCAAGTGAGAATACCTATTAACTTTGAAATATCACAATTGCCAGACATTTTTTTCTTTTCCAAAATACTGATGAATTATGAAATATAATATGGTGATATATTACAAAGATGCATTTAAGGTGTAAAAGTGTGGACCATTTTAGAAACCCCCGGGAGAAGTCCGCAATCATTATAAAAAGTAAAGTAACAAATTACTTTAGGGACCCCCTTTGATGTATAACTGGACCAATTTTGCCCGATTTTTCAACGCGTTCAAAAACTCGTACATCAGTTCTTATATTGCCATAAAAAATTATAGTAATAGCTGTCTTGAGAGACCATGCATTTCAGTGATTCATCCGAGTTAAATGTGAGACCGATATCACTGCTCACATAAGTCACACTTCTCTAGAGAATTAATATCAGTCTTATACCAGAAGATTTCGGATTCAGCTGTGCTGCTCCATATGTAACAGGATCTGGTAACTGTAACCAACCTTTACCATAATTCACTCCGATATTCACACTTGGTCTCAAGGTTCCGAATTACAATATTTCTGTATTGATCCTCGACCGTCTTCGACTGGATTGGGCTATGAAGAGGTATCATAGACGGCTATACTAGACATACTTTAATGTTTCAAGTTTTGTGGGTGGGTTAAGATGGAATGTACAATGCTGTGATATCTAGACGCTATGCATGTACATACTTTTAGTGTTAATTTTTTTTGGTCTAGAATTTAACATGCAATTGACTGGAACTCTATTGCTTTCACATCTCCAATACGAGATTTTGAATATTCATGGCAAACCTTCGAAAAATGTATGAGCATTTTAGGTGAAATACAAAATCGATAGAATTTGATTCTTCTTATGCTTTTCCTATTTTACTGAAGAAGTTGTAAGTTTCAGTTGCTGTGTATTCTTGACTTTATTTAAATAATTTTCTTTTCTGTTACAGCTATACAGTCTCTGGATTCTCTCAATGACCAAATCGTACAATATATCTTCACGCCATCAAATGGACAGCCTTTTGATTTCGACAAAGACCTCTTGCCCAATGAACAAGAGACACTGAAGTCGTCGATGGTGTTGATTCGACGGCTTCTTCACGACGCCCAAAGCAAGTTTCGTAAAATGGTAGAAGACAATAAACAGTTGGCAGCTCGAATCGACGGATCTATACACGCGGCTAACCAGGAGGTGAATGCCCTGCGCACAGAACTAGTGGACACAAATAAGCGATTGTCGGAGATAGGAACGGGAATTGAGAAACGGGACTGTGGAGTTCAATGTGACAGTGAAAGTAAGTACAGTTGTGTTTTAGAGTTACCTCTCTTTGCCAGCTTTTTCCTTAATGTTTCTTTCACTCATTCACCCCTGAAATTTCATGATGAACTATTCCAACCTTTGAATTGGAAGAGTTCAAATGTGTCTTCGGGAGTGAATGAGTTAAAGTCATCTCAAATTATATCAGATGTGTTTTTTCCAGCCTGGGTTAATATGTTAAATACTACATTTTTCTCAACAAGTGTCCCTTTTTATTGTACGCCCGTCGAAGACGGGGACGTATTATGTTTTCACGTGAGCAGGCAGGCGGGCGGGCGGGTGNTAATTTGTGGAGTTATGCCCCTTTATGGACTTGCCGAAACAGTGTCCGCTCGATATCTCGAGTAATTATTAACGGATTAACTTCAAACTTCACAACAAGGTTAATTACCATGAAACCTCGGACAAATTCGATAACCGCCATTATCCGACCGTAATTATTGGAGTTATTCCCCTTGGTTTCATTAATGCGATGCATGCGTTCGATGATGTTGTATTGCACTCATTGATCTACCAGTTATGTTGAATGATTTATCTTTTAATATCAATTACTCACAAATGCTTCATATATTTCAATCATACAAACAACTGCTCATTCAATGTGTGACGGGCGTATTATATACCGCTCGCAGTAAGTAACCTTGTTCCACTAGGTGGAGCAAAAATTGCTTTGCATTTTAACTTGTCATATTTGACATTTTAAGGGCGTGGAATGAGAGTAAGTGATGATCGGGGCAACTTTATTGAGTTGAAACAGCTGTAATTTACTGGGGCGTTAAATTGAAATAAGGGAAAATCAGTCCCAAAATCGCTAGTTACTGACAGGTTGCATGGATAGTACACATGCATTAACAAGATTATTCAGGATACATTCACCCCTACATATTTACACTTGGTTTGCCCAGTCTTTGATTTAGTATTTAGGTTCAAATGTGGCTTTAGGGGTGAATGGGTTAATTGACTTACTGAACCTGTATAATCTGAAAACCTGTCTACAGTGTTTCTTGCACTGGTCATGCAGTTTAGACAGATTTTAATGATAAAATATGTAAGCTTCAAAAATATTCACATATATGTTGTTAAGGAATGAAGCAATAGAGAAAAAAATGTGACCCCACAAATTTAGAGCATAGCTACTCACTGTTCTAAGGTTTATTTTGGAACTGCTAAAGCTTACACAGTCTAGCCCAGCATGCTGCAGTATTTACATTAGAGATGATGTGCATGTTTTCAAGATCAATCAGAGATAATAAACATATCAAGAGCAGATTCCTTTTGCACTTATCACGGTATACATGCGGGTGCAGGTGCTGTATCTAACGAATCCTCCTTTATTCCGAATCCCTATCAACAGCTTCTGAAGACGACTGTTACATGCTGTGATCATGTGAACCTATAGTGGATGAGCATGCATGCCCAAATACTGGTGATAAGGGGGTTTGGGGAGGGGGAATTGGGGAGAATGCTGTTGGAAGGGGTTGCATTGATAAATTGTTGGAGAGGAGGAGATTGTTGGGGGTGTTGTGGGTAGGTGGAAGTGATAAGGTGAATGGATTGAGGGGTACAGGGGACAGTGATAACTCTGTGGGAGATAAAGGCGGTTGAGGATGCTATTGAGGAAGGGGTGCAGTGAGGTATTTGTGAGGGATGCTGTTCGGAAGGAGATGGAGTTGAGGGGTGCTGTTTGGAGGGATGCCTCAATAATAAAAAGAGATGGAGTTGAGGGGTGCTATTTGGAAGGATGCCTCAATAAGAAAAAGAGATGGAGTTGAGGGGTGCTGTTTGGAGGGATGCCTCAACAATAAAAAGAAATGGAGTTGAGGGGTGCTGTTTGGAGGGATGCCTCAATAATACAAAGAGATGGAGTTGAGGGTTGCTGTTGAGAGTGGTATGGTGATAAATTTGGGGAGAGGTTTGGGTAATCTGCATATAGTGTCTGGGTTAGGTCGGGATATTGCAGGAAGGGTTCAGTGCCCAGAGGGAAAAAGGAGCTTGATGATGTAGGGAGCGATGTTGTGGATGGGAGGATTCATGTGCTTCTGTAAACCTTACATTATTAAAATACATTCTAATCTTGAAATGGTTTTTTTTTTCAACTATTCTGATAACAATTCTCTACTGAAAATAACAGCTTGATGATTTTTTTTTCATTTAGTGAGTTAAGAGTTACTATTTCATGTTTTGAAAGAATATTCATGGAAATTTCTCTTGGCAATATATGCTGCATGCATCGTGGCACCACCATTGGGCATACAAGTCTTGTATCAACACTATGACTAAAACACCTATCAGACGTTATACATGTTCCCTAACCTGATTAATGAATCAGTCTTCTTTCTGTTTTGTCTAAGAAGTATGAATGGGAATAGAAACAGCACATCTGTTTATTGTCCGCAATCTACTTATTAACATTTGCCTAAATATTTACATCAAGCCTTGAACACAGTCTGGATCAGAGTTAAGGCATCACCACAAATTACTTGATTATAGCAATGGAGTTGAGGCATCGCCCTACAAATTACTTGATTAGCAGTGGTTGCCGACCCTGTTCTGTTTATAGGATATATCCCCAGGAAGTCATCTGGCAGAGAAACACAGAGGCATGGACCCCCAAATAACCATAAGTTGTTTACACTTAGTGGTGTTATTGTGGGTTTTTTCTCTCTCAATATTTTCATAAATATAATGAAACAAATTGGGGCACTTTGTTTCTAAACAATTTTCAAAATGAAAAAAAAACAGTTGTGTGAGTATCAATGGTTAAGGTAGATTTAAAATGATCAAATTATGATATTAAGTAAATTTATTTTGATAATAAAAAAGATGTGACTTCAGTCTGATCTGATAAACAATTTTCAGAATGAAAAAAAACAGTTGTGTGAGTATCAATAGTTTAGGTAGATTTAAAATGATAAAATTATGATATTAAGTAAATTTATTTTGATAATAAAAAGATGTAACTACAGTTTTATCTGATACTATTAAATCTGAGTGGTATATATGGTGGGCTGACATGATGAATGGCTATTGGTATTGGAGCTCTCTAGTATCAGAACCATGGGTATCAGAGCCATCAGATGAGCTGCTAATGTGTACCTGCTGAGTATAAAACCTGCTTCTCTATCTGTTGTCCAGGCAACAACAAGTCTTGTCTGAAGCTCCCGACTCCCTCCTTAATCCCCTACAATTACTGTAGGACCTTATATGACCTTAATGTGTTGATGGACAATTAGAATTTTAACAAAAATATTCTTCATAAATTTTCTTATTCGGTTATAGTAAAATCTTTGAATGAATTATTGATGATTATCTAATGCTACATTAATGTTTTTTTCAAGAGACGCAACTCCTAACACAAATCACGGTATATTTTTCCTCATTTGGCAATAGTAAAATCTTCGAACGAATTATTATCTAACGTACGCTTAAAATATAAATTCAAGGGAGGTAACTCTAACACAAATCACAGTATATCGTGGAAGGTAGCATATTTCCTTAAAAATCATCAAATCTGGTTCCAATTGACCTCAAACTGATTAAGAAAGATATTAATCATCAATAAGATAAGAAGATTAAGATTATTGTCACAGACAGCTGAAGTTGAACTGATTTTTCACATAATAACCTTTGTTCAACATTCATATGTCAAATAGTTTGTGTTACCGTTGGATACAGAACTGATTTTGTCAAGACTTGTTACTCTGGAAACATAAACAACATTACAGATTTTATGTTCATACAGTGAAACTTGTCAAAGTTGAAACCGTGTTTGGTTTGGTTAATGTTTTACGTCCTATTAACAGCTATGGTCATATATTAAGGACGAACCAGCTTTTTTTTAGTGATTGAGGAGAACCAGAGTACCTGTAGAATAACCGCCAACCCGCGGTCAGTATCTGGTGACTGTAGGCCTAATTCAGAACGGAGGGTTTAAGTGATCGTAGACGGTCAGATGCCTCAACCACTAGGCCACAGAGGCTAAATAATTCACCACAGCGACATGTGGACACCATCTTTATATGTGGGCAAAATGTATTGGTCAGATTAGACAGGATGTCAGAATACACAGGTCAAATTTGTTAGTTTTCATTAGAAATGGGATTGCATTATGTTGGATTAGACAGGGTTTTTATACTTGAGTCAGATTTGGGAGGTTTTACAGTAGCCTGCATATATATATACTTTTTTCAAATTTATTAGTGGGAGTTAGAAATTATGTTAATCATGCACCTTTTCTCTTCTGTAGACACGCCACGCCACAAGGCTGACGAGGAAAATGAGTTGAAGCAACTAAGGGAAGAGAACTCTCGTCTTGAGGCACGCCTCGCAACACTGGAACAGGATGACCTCAAGGATATTGCCACGGAAACCACCAAGATTGGCGAGATGAAGCTTGACCTCATTCAGACCAAACAGGAACTCAACCGGGCCAAAGAGGCGTTACAAGGTACAGACTATATATTTTGTTTTATTTTTACGTCAAGTACTCTTAGAAATGAGGTCGCGAACATTAGAGTTCAAGGTCATTGAATAGGAGATATTCAGGGAAAATAAAATAAAAGGTCAAAGGGTACACCATAGATAGTTAAAGAATGCTGGTATTTTCTTAATGGAGATGTTTGCTTGTATCGTAAATGGACAGTGGTCAACTGCAGCATTATCACGAAAAGAAATGTGGCAACGTTTTCTACAGTGGAATCATTCTAGGTTCATTATGGTAACTGATCCATTTCTCATTGGTCATATTTCATCATGATTCTGTGGAAATGTTCACATTTTCACTTACCATAATTAGGGCAAATTTATTTTGACAGCAAATAAATATCATACATAAATGCCTTTAGCATGAATGGTGAAATAATCACCAGACAAACTTTAATGTTGAAGGGCAAATATTTAAATGATTAAAGGCTTTTGGTCTGTATCAATATCACAGAGATGACTTTGTAGTGTGGTTTAAGAGTTAATTGGGTGATAGATAATAACCAAATCCAGGTTTCAGTGTTGCTTCAGGACAATTTGTATGTGTTTATATTTTGAGCTATACTGTCTTATTTATAATCACCATTGATTTCTTTTTTATCTGGTACATGTTTAATATTTTTTTATCAGTTAAGGCTGCACAAATTTTAAATGGAATAACTGCTTCACTTTATTTAGCATAGCCAGCACATTGTATTTTTGAACAAATCAGAGATATTTGTAGTGGAAAATTCATTTTAGAAAATAATCTTTATGTCTGTCTTTTGATTTTAAATTGAACAACAATTCTTTTTTTGCTTTTTATTTTTTCTTCGATAGCAATCAAGAGCAATCATAAAGTACTTTATAAAACAATATTTGTCACACATAACATGTACTTTTAGTGTGAGCTTCACCTGCTAGCTCAGAAAATCAAGAAAGTTTCATGAAACTATACAATACCTGCTTGAGGTTCTTTCAACTCGTTCCCCCCTGAAATTTTATGATGAACTATTCCAACCAAGAACTGGACGAGTTCAAATGTGTCGTCAGGGGTGAATGAGTTGATTGCTAAAGAACAAAAATTATATTTTCTGAGAGATAACATTATAGTGTCCACCAATGCATAAAATATTTATCACCCCTGTGGGTTGTCATAATTCAACAAATCCTGCTTTCTTAACTTTTGTGAACATATGTTGGAGATATCATTCATCAGCATAACACTTCTTTCTGGTAGCTAGCGTGAAAACATTAAAATGAAAAAGATAAGATATGTGTCACTCCTGTCTAACGCCTTGTTATATTACCGAGGTTATGATACTAAATGACAAAAACGTCTTTGTTCAGTTGTAGAAATTCTTCATTGGCAGGGGAGGAAAAAACTGGAAACCTTTTTTTTATTTTCATGTAATAACGGGGAAAAAGGATGTTCAAGTGCCAACTCTTATCCAAAACAGAGAATAAGGGAGATTTTTTTTGATTTGTTTAAATTGCATGTACATCCCATTTATGTATTTTGATGCGATAGAGTCGGCTACCTTACGATTTTACAAGAAGTGGTCTTTCTGACAGGTGCTAGAATGCATCAGGGTTGTGATGTAGATAACATATTTCCCAACAGATCAAGTTTGTTTATGAGGGCTTGAAAGATGTGTGAAGTGTGAAAACGATATGTCAAGGTCACCGAAGGTCATAGAGTATTATGACTGTTGGTACGAACCTGGAACATTGAGGGCAGACACATAAAAACACCAAACAGTCCTCTGTATGCAGACAGACACTGTGTGTTTTAGGAATGGAGAAAATTCTGTGAACTATGAAGAAAATATTGTAAAAAAAAAGTTTTTGACTAAAATTCAATAACATTTGATGTTCTTGTATTATATTTTTATACCAGGTTTTGGCCTCTGGATATCTGAACAATGTAGATGCCAGAATTGTTAAGGATTTACAAATCTCATGATGTTTTTATTATCTGACAATTTCATAGGAATATGCCAATGAATTCCTGCATTCTGTAATAAACAAAGTTTGGGCAACTGAAATACAGCTAAAATACAACTGAAATACAACTAAATAGAATTTCAGAAAAATCTTCCAGACAGAAAAAAAAATATGCAATGTATCATTCTACAGGAAATATTAATACCAGCAATGGTTATATTAAACTATATTTTTGAAGATGTATTTCTTGGTGTTCTGCCACCACTAGGAATGATCAAACCAATTTCCTTGGAGGAGTGAGTGTACTTGCATGTGTAAGCCTATATGCATGATTGCAAACAGTAGTGATGACTGTGTATACCTACTGAGGCACCCTGTTCATTTTTAGCGATTATTTCAAAACTGATATTGGGCAAGAATGAAAACAGAATATTTTGGATACCTGCATGGTTTTGTTTGTTATGAAAATCAGTTAAACACATATTTTTCTGAAAATCAGTTAAACACATATTTTTCTGTTACTCTATCAGAGCAAAAAACAGCACCATAAAATTAACCTGTCTATTCTGATCCCTGAGATTTCTGACAAACTGTCTGATCCCATAATAGAAGATGTTCAGAAAGACCGGTGTATTTTGACATGCTGTCCGATATGATCAATATATGTTGTTTATCACGATGTATCAGATCAGACAGATGTCTGAGGCAGGCTAATCTTGCTGATATGTTGTATAACAAAGGGTGTTGGATAAGACAGGTATATCTAACCAAGATGCTGCGTCCCACAGGGTGTCAGATTAGACAGGTTTCATTGTACATTTAATTTTCATCGTCTAAACTTTTATCACATTTCATGTTGTACAGTTGTTAAACAACAGATAAACAAAAGTTTGTTTATTTCCTTTTGTAGCAATGAAGGGGGACCGAAAGCGTCTGAAGGCAGAAAAGCTTGAGTTGCTGAATCAAATGCGTCAGTTATACACGACGCTGGAGGATAAGGAAACCGAGCTCCGTGACTTTATCCGTAACTATGAGACGCGTATGAGGGAGAGCGATGATACCATCAAACAGGTACAAAAATAGCAAATCAGAGATTTACTGAAAGCAACTTTCAATCTACTGTAATATATTTCTGGAAATGTGATAAATAGAAAATATTATTACTGTAGAATCATTTATTTTCGTGGGGTTAAAATTTCGTGGTTTTCATATGCTAGCCTGTTTCAAGGACATTAAATTTCGCTGATTTCTGATTTTCCCCTATCTATATCACACCAAATGTATGTGTTTTTGTTGGGATTTAATTTCGTGGATTTTTGTTATCCACAAAATATTTATGATTTTACAGTTGCTTTTTTAATAAACATATGGTACAATTCATTTGTATGTCAGATTTTTCTCCTATTTTTAGGTCACCTGAGCTTTAGCTCAAGTGACCTATTGCTATCCGTTTTCGTCCGTCGTCGTCCGTCGTCCGTCGTCCGTTAACATTTTACATTTCAAACTTAAAGTCAAGTTCTGCTGGGCCGATTGAACTGAAAGTTGGTAGGAATGATCGCCTCATGGTCCTGACAAAGTGTTGTTATTTTTCGGGTCGATCAGAAATCCAATATGGCCGCCACGGCCACCATTTTGAAAACCTATTTCAAACTTAAAGTCAAGTTCTGCTGGACCGATTGAACTGAAAGTTGGTAGGAATGATCGCCTCATGGTCCTGACAAAGTGTTGTTATTTTTTGGGTCGATCAGAAATCCAATATGGCCACCACGGCCGCCATTTTGAAAACCTATTTCAAACTTAAAGTCAAGTTCTGCTGGACCGATTGAACTTAAAGTTTGTAGGAATGATCGACTCATGGTCCTGACAAAGTGTTGTTATTTTTCAGGTCAATCATAAATCCAATATGGCCGCCACGGCCACCATTTTGAAAACATATTTCAAACTTAAAGTCAAGTTCTGCTAGGCCGATTGAACTGAAACTTTGTAGGAATGATTGACTCATGGTCCTGACAAAGTGTTGTTATTTTTCAGGTCGATCAGAAATCCAATATGGCCACCACAGCTGCCATTTTGGTAAACTATTTCAAACTTAAAGTAAAGATCTACTTGGCCGATTGAACTGAAACTTTGTAGGAATGATCGAATCATGGTCCTGACAAAGTGTTGTTATTTTTCGGGTCAATCAGAAATACAATTTGGCTGCCATGGCCGCTATTTTGCTACTAAGTTCTAATAGGCCGATCTCACTTAAAATTGGTCTAGGAATGATCAGCTCATGGTCCTGACAAAGTTAAGTTAACATTATACTATTTTTTACTCAAATTGGTACATATTTCAACAACAAAAATAAATACTATAGACTCAGGTGACCGTTAAGGCCCATGGGCCTCTTGTTACCAATGCAACAGCAAATGTAATGAAATTATGGATTTGAATAATATATAATCATACATTTGGACCACAGCTGTGTAGAAATATGTACAAAAAGTTCAAGGACTGCAGATTGTGTTAGCTGTGTAGTAAACGATTATTAACTCCAGATCTGGCCACACCCTAATAATACTAGACAAGGATCAAAACAAATTAATCGGACACTATTTCCTCACACGTGATATCCCGCTCATTCACTGTCAATGAAAACCTATTATATATCCTTTCAAGTTAGAACCTAGATGTTGACCAAGTGTTTTTCTGTGTCTCATTTTTCCATTACCTGTGATCTATGTACGGAAGTAATTGTGTAAAGACAACATTCTACTCAATATTGTTTTGGAGGTACGCGCTGATTTTTCCATTCAGTGGATTTTTTTCTTTCCGTCAAGGAACCTAAACGTGTAAACAACCCATCTCGGAGCCGATTCGTTTTATAGATAACGTCCAACTCTAAATGTTTGGAAGCGTGTTCTGACTTTTCCATTCAGTGACGATTTATTTTTCATTGATGCGCCTAACGTGTAGAGAACCCATCTCAGAGCAGATTCATTGTATAGATAACGTCCAACTGTAAACGTTTGGAAGTGTGTTCTGATTTTGCCATTCATTGGAGATGTATTTGTTTTGGAGGAATCTGATGTCTATATAACTGCCAAACATCACGGAGTTGAACAATCCATCATTAAAAGTGGGGTTTTTTTGGTACATGCTGGTGCTATTATAAGATTGATGTTGTCACAAACTTCCCAGGCGGCTTACATTCACAAAAAAAGAAATTGGCATTCTGTCTTTTTTGAACTTCACAGTTAAGACAATTAAGTGTGTGTATGTTGTACTTAGCAGTTTTTGTCGAGAATTGTTTTAGATTTTTTAACACCTAGATGATCTCAGAAAAGTTTCAGTGTTATGTAATCTATGAAAAATTATGCTTAGATACGCAGATTTTATTCTGACAAAGTTAGGATTTTATAATCCAAATTGACTGTCAGCTGAAATAAGAAATAAAAAGAAAAAAACACATTTAAAAAGTTGGGTTTCATTTTTTTCTATCAAACTATTCCTGTGCTTGGTTTTGCCAGTGTTCATCTAATTTAAATTCAAATTGTTTAACTGTGCTTGAATTCACAACATTATATGGCAGATTGTTCCATAAATCAACAGTTCTTTCTGCAAAAGATTTTTTTTTTAATTTTATCTTTAATGCGAAATATTCATAATTTAAATGATCAGGAAAGGTTATGTAGGAAAGATGAAATAATCAATATAAATTTTGTGTCCTAAAACAGTTTTCTATCCCTCAAGTCCGGAAGTCTTCTGAAATTCTGGATATCGTACAAACAGGAAATACTGATAAAAATCATTGATTGAAGAATTATTGGCAAAATCAATGTCTCATATAAAGTAGAGCTCGGCTGTAAGAATTTGAAATCAGATTGCATAGTGTCAACAATATCTATTACAAATTTTACTCAGTATTTTTTTCTAATATTTTTTTTTTAAGAATTGCTTCATTTACCATTTCCAAATTGTTAGATATTATTACAAATCTAACATGTCAGTCCATTTCTTATCAAGTATTATTAAAAACATGACAGTTTTGAAAATGTAAATTAAACAACTATTCAAAAAAATTACATTTTTTTCCCTTTGAATGAAAACAACTCCCATTTATCTTGCTTCTGCTTAAAATCAGCTGATGTTTGTTTAATAAAAAAATACCCAAAACCAGCTAGTAGTTGATTAAAAGAGTAAAATTGAATGTTGTGTTGTAGCTTGCCACAGAACGTGAGGACTGTGAACATGAACGCTGGGATTTGATGAAACAAGTCCGGGACGGACAGGAACGCACCTTCATACTCCGGTCACAACTCGAAAGTAAAGATGCACAAATAAAAAAGTTGGAAGTAGATTTGGTCGAGGTAAGTAGATAATATAATTAATTATTCTGACATTTTTCGTCACAATTTGTTGATGTTTGGTTTGGTTTTACTTTTTAACGTCCTATATATTACCGGCTCAAGTCATTTAAGGACGTTCCTCCATGTGTGTAGTGTAGGTGTGTATGTGTGCTGGAGACAGGGTATGTTGGTGTATTTGACTCCTTGTGATGGCCAGATCCGATGCCGACTTTGTAGTGCTAACTCACTGAAACACCGTGCCGAAGGCACCAAGCGTAGCACTCCGGCCCGGTCACATTATACTGACAACTGGTTAACTAGTTTTCGCCAATACTCTAAATGCTGAACGTTCAGCTGGGAATGATAACTACTAGTATTAATGACTTTGGTATTTATTAGAGCAGTCATTACTTCTTTACATAGATGACAACTTTCAAGTTAAGGATCTCCCTTAACCCTTTCAACCCTATGCAACTTTAGTAGACTCTACCATCCTTTGATCTGGATGAGTCCATTATGGTCTACAGTGGTGAAAGGGTTAACCACCGACTAAAATTGTTACTAATACTTTAGAAACTTCTTTTCTGAAATTAATTTAGCATTGATAAATAATTTCTGAAAATTGTAAATTCATAGCCTACAGAACTTTTATGAAAAAATTTATATAGATGAAATAAAAAGCAAAAATCAATAACAGTGTTTGGAGTGAATGAGACCATTTGTCAGGATTTGAATCCTTGACGTGTGATAATTATACTGTAGTGCTAAATAACTGAGCTACCTGGTCAGTGGTAGTATCCTAGCCCAGAAACAGTTATATCAAAAATCAAAAGATCAAAGTTTTACTTTTAAAACAAACAATGTACGTATTAAACGTGCGACAACGTGTTTCAAGACTGGCTGGTCCCTTTGTCAAGCTATAACTGAGTGAGTGATTTGTATTACTTATCTCATCTACGATGTGACGAAGTTGTATACTTTACATGTCACTCGACCCAAGACGTTTACCCAATCAATAGGGAGCTTATACACATTGCATCAGATAGGTTACAGGTAGGGTGTAGATCTAGTCCCCTCCCCTGTTATGTCAGAACGGGTCATACAGATGACTCAGCTGGTGTCCCCCCTCATCTCTGTTCACGAGTTTTCCTGATTTTGATAGCTTCTTTGAATTTGAATGGGAGGTTACTCTATGGAAATAACCACAGTGGAATTTTCTAATGTTTCGTTTGCAGTAGGACATGGATCTTTAATTCATTCACCCCTCCACATCTATGCTGGACTTGCCCAGTCCTTGATTTGGTAAGGTTCAAATGTGACTTTAGGGGTGAATGGTATTAATTAGCACATCATAATGATAACACTACAACTTATTTATTACATTGAGGGATAGGGTGATTTTGTATTGAGCAATTTCTGAAATGGAGCATGACATGACTGCATGCTGACCTCATTTTCCCCATATCTAACATTAAATCTTAACAGACAAAGAGTTCAATCTTAAATTTATGTTTTAAACAAAACCTTTGTGTTGAACTTGAATTCTTCAGGCGAAGGAGCAGCAAGTGTCTGGTCAGAAGCATCGGAGCAGCATGAACCACTCGCCAAACAGCGTTGGAGGTACAACGACGAACAGTGAAGAACTACCCCCGTACGAAACGCCACCCCCCACTGCAAATTTCAATTCCAAAAACAGTAGCATGGAAGGTATGTATATAAATATTCCAACAAAAATTAAGAAAGGTACCATGATTTGAAGCTTGCTTATATTTAACCCCAGTGGATGTAAGAATGTGTTAACCCTTTCACCACTGTAGACCATAATAGACTCATCCAGATCAATGCATGGTAGAGTCGACTAAAGTTACATAGGGGTGAAAGGGTCAACAGTAGGTGTACAAGTTGATGTTTGTGTCCCACAGTATTTATTGCCAGGAATTGTGCTCTATCCATGTATTGACTTTCTGTGTTGATATCCATATTTTCATGATTCCAGGTAGCAGTATACAGTAGCGTGTTTTTTTTTTAATGTAGTTAATAAATATATATATAAGTAGGTGTGTTGTGCAGAATGAATCCAATATCCATGTTTATCTGAGACATGCCCTTTATCTTTAGAATCAGGCCATTTCTACTGTACTCTGCTACTCTAGTGCTCATTATGAAAAAAAAATCAGTCTTCTGAACAAAATGTATTCAAAAGTAGTTTATAAATATATATATAGAATCCACTATCCATGTTTATCTGAGACATGCCCTTTATCTTTAGGATCAGGCCATTTCTACTGTACTCTGCTACTCTAGTGCTTATTATGAAAAACAAATAAGTCTTCTGAACAAAATGTATTCAAAAGTAGTTTATAAATATATATATATAGAATCCACTATCCATGTTTATCTGAGACATGCCCTTTATCTTTAGGATCAGGCCATTTCTACTGAACATTGTTGCCCCAATAACAAGGTCTGACATCTGTACAACTTTTCTTATTTTAAAAATTATTTACATGGTATTGACTTAAAACTTCCAGTACTGCCGGTTACACCCAACAACAAGACGAGGGAGAGAAGCAATTCCCTCACACCGTTGCTGGATAGCTCTGATTTCAGCCCTTCTAGTCAAGACGTAACGGAGAGTCCCGTAGACTCTAAAAAGAAGAAACGGATCAGCCTCAATTCCATATCCCGAGTATTTTCAAGGGGTCGGGTCCGACGATCTATAGCTCTTCCTACAGACGCTGACTTGGATGGTAAGACAATCAAGATGGTTTTAGAACACTTTTTAGCTCAACTTGGTCCTTATACCGGGAAACTAATTCACCCTACGTTGGTAAGATTCGTTTTCGCCCAGTGTTAGTTTCACTTTTCACATTGGATTACTATTCTTACGCCGTTTAAAAATATTGGGATATTCATAACAGAGGGCAAAAAAGGTGAAAGGGAAACTGCGGTGAAAATTTTCTCGTATAGAGTAGTTTATTTTCTAAAGAACCATGCCAAAAGTTTGATATTTACAGCCTCAATGTTTTGCCAGCATTAGTTATTTCTTTTGGTCAATAGTTTTTAGAATAATAATCATAATTGGTGTATTTTCTCTATTGTGTGTATCGGAATAAGCCTCAACCACTGATCAAATGAAGTTCAAATAATGTAAGGCTTTCCTGACAGCGATTTTCAAAATCTGAAGAAGTTTGTTTGAAGCATTCAATTCAAAAATAAAAATAATTCTAAAGCACCATTAAGTTGGGCTGGAGATTGTACACCACATATGTGAGAATGGTCAAAGGGAAACAACTCCAATTTTATTTACTATTTCAAAAGAAATATAATTATTGTCAAGTTAGTAAAACAAAATGTACTTGTTCATCTTGTACCTGATCATGAATACTTTTTTTTATATATATATATATTTTTCAGAGGTTGGAACACTAGCAAGATTGTTTTTGTATTTTTTATTATCAGCCTCAGCATGTGGTGTTTATATTTCATAATATTTGCCTGAATTTGTTAATGAACTCATTCACCTCTACATATCTAAACTGGAATTGCCCAGTCTTTGATTTGGTAAGGTTCAAATGTGACTTTAGGGGTGAATGGGTTGATAGTTTATTTTCTTGCTTTTGTCTTTTGCAGACATTCCACCCAACTCGAGATTGACCTTATTAAACCCGGACAACTATCAAGAAAAACTGCAGATTGTCGAGCAATCTAAAGGTTGTCACATGACTCTATGGAAAGCCAATCAGGTGTTGGCCTGGCTCGAGATCGTTCTCAACATGCCCATGTATGGAAAAATGTGCACAGCTAACATTAAAAGTGGGAAGGTCCTGTTAGGGCTCAGTGATTCGGAACTTGGATCAGCACTCGCAATTTCTAACCCGATGCACAGGAAGAAGATTCGGATAGCAATAGAAGAGGCGCGGAATCCAGCAGACATGTAAGTCCACTGTAAAAGTGTCAAACAGATACTTGAGCTCTTATTAACCCTTTCACCCCTAGGTAACTTTAGTAGACTCTACCATACATTTATCTGGGTGAGTCCATTATGGTCCATAGTGATGAAAGGGTTAGCTAAGTTTTCCTAAAATTACTTTACCTGTACTTTCATTAGTAACATAACATCTAGCTCCATGCATTGGGTATCAATACAGTGGAATTGTACACCCTTGCTTCCAAGAAAAGGTAGTAAGTGGTTTTCTCTGTATTATTGTAAAGATTGAAGTGAAGCTATATACTATACTACAGTACCTACTATAGTAGACCCACCCTGTATACGTGCATAGAAATTACATAGCTCTGGTATAGCATATAACCTATAAAGATGACCTGGTATATCATAGGCCTATATTGTATTTTGCCATTTGAAACGTAAATTGTAAATAGTCGTCTCAATATAAATGTAAAGATAGAAGTGCAGCTATATACTAGACTACAATACCTACTGTAGTAGACCTACCCTGTATCTACGCATAGAAATTACATAGCTCTGGTACAGCATAAAACCTATAAAGATGACCTGGTATATCATAGGCCTATATTGTATTTTGCCATTTGAAAAGTAAATTGTAAATAGTTGTCATTGTTTGTATTAATGTAAAGATAAAAGTGCAGCTATATACTATACTACAATACCTACTATAGTAGACCCAATCTGTATCCATGTATAGAAATTACATAACCCCTGTACAGCATATAACCTTGAAAGATTGCCTGGTGTATTATACGCTTATATTGTATTTTGCCATTTCCAATGTAAAACAATAAAAAATAGGATTACAATAATTACATATACAGAAAAACACATTTCTAAAACTAAATACTTACCTCTGTAGAGCATTCCCCAAGTCCTGCCTGCTTGACCACACATGGGTGGCACATCGCTGGATGGCCGATCTGGGTCTGCCTCAGTACATACAATCATTAGAGACCAACCTCATCGATGGACGCATGCTCAATATTCTCACAAAGAAAGAGATGGAGAAATACTTAGGTGTCCATCGTAAATTCCACCAGGCCAGCATTCAACACGGCGTCGAATTACTACGCAGACTCAATTTCGACAAAGAGGTGAGCTTTGAATACTGCCATTGCCAAGTTTCATGAGTGATTTAATTTAAAATACATGTATGTTAAAAATGTTTTACAGTTTTTACATAAAAAAAATTACTGTAAATTATTTTTTTAATGAGAAATGGTGTCTTTGTGAAAAGTTAGTTTGCGAGATAAAAGAGTGTGTGATATATAAGCACTGACATAGGTAATAGTAAGAACATTTCTGAACCACATATTTGCATATTTCATTGTCATGTAAGAAAATTATTTGTCACAAGATAGATTTCAGCAACTTAATAAATTTAAATTTAAATTATGACAATTATGATCCAATTTTTATTGACTTCTATATTAATCACTCTTGTTGATGTGGAAAGCACTAACGGATATTTAATGTGGGAGTTAACCAAAGTACGAGATGATACCCATGTGGTCCAGCAGCTGACACTAAACCGTTTCATGTTAAATTGGGAAGTCTAACCCTGGTTTTGTTGGTAAAGGCCAAGTGTGCTATCTCCTATGTCACCTGACCACCCAATAACACAGTGATTAAATACAGTAAGCGTACTTACTTTAGCACACTCAACTTTTATCTCATCGAATTTTAACAGATTGACACTTTGTTAACTTGGCGTATCCACAAAATATACAATAGACAACAATGTACGGGGACTTCTATCGGGGCAATCATAATTTGAACCAAGAAAAGCACTAAAATATGACTACCGCTAAAAGTTTAACATTAACAGTAAGTTTTGTGTGAAATATGGAGACATGGCGTTTTTCCAAGAAGATAAATGACACACAAACAATTGTTGTAGATGCTGACAGATCGGCGGTCGAAGTGTGACAGCACCGACACAGATCCTCTGGTCTGGAACAACCAAAGAGTCATCAAGTGGGTCCAGAGCATAGACCTGGAGGTAATATTAGGTCTCATACCCCTCACACCCATCACCCTACCCACATATCATTCTAGACCCTTGTCACATCACCCTCTACCCCTCACACCCCTCACCCTACCCACATATCATTCTAGACCCTATGTCACATTACCCCCTACCCCACACATCCCCTCACCCTACCCACATATCATTCTAGACCCTTGTCACATCACTCCCTACCCCACACATCCCTCAACCTACCCACATATCATTTAGACCCTATGTCACTTTACACCCTACCCCACACATATATCCCCTCACCCTACCCACATATCACCCTATGCCACGTCCTATTTCAACTCGTACCTCAGACATCAACCAGAAACTCTCAAACACATTCGCTCACCCTACCCATGTATCACCCTGCACCATCCCCTATATCAACTCGTACCACAGACACCACCCAGAAACTCTCAAACACATCTGCTCACCCTACCCATGTATCACCCTGCACCATCCCCTATATCAACTCATACTTCAGACACCACCCAGCAACTCTCCCACAAGAGCACATATCCCCTACCCTAAAATCATCCCTCCCCTATTTTATACACAATGTCGGATATCATCCCAACCACTCTCTCACACCCACCTTCTAAACTGCAGCCACGTGCACCCAGCCACTATAGCCTACATGTCAAGCCACTGGTCACATTGCACACTACAGTACAGCAGCCTCCGTACCTTACTGTATGCTTGACTTGTGCCTACGTATACCCAACCATGACGATAAAGCTGCATTAGAATCCTTAAAAGCAAATCAAGAACATTTTATGTGTATGAACTTTTCTATCTACACATTCTAACTGTTTCTATTTTATAGGAATATGCTCAAAATTTGAAGGAGAGTGGCGTACACGGGGCGTTAATGGTGCTAGAACCTCAGTTTACGTCGGATACCCTGGCCACAGCCCTGGGTATACCTCCTTCCAAGTCATACATCCGACGACACCTCAAGACGGAACTCGAGTCTCTAGTCAAACCTGCCAGGTAGGCCACCGAAACAGTGACAAATACTCGTTGATTAAATCAATGATGGATGTTTTAGTTGTTTATCCCTTTATAGCAAGCATCAGTAATGATCCAGGGCTTAGAGAGAAAATGTCGGGACGATCAGATTAGTGTGACAGCTTGCTGTACATATTTACAGTCATACTTGATCATGTGGTGACCTCTATGAAGAGACCTGCACCTGTGTTAAGAGGCCATTTTCAGTGTTTCAAATTGTATTGGTCTCAAAGTCAATTGAACATGTATTAACCCTTTCACCACTGTATATCATAATGGACTCATCCAGATCAATGCATGAAAGAGATTAATATAGGTACATCAGGGTGAAAGGATTAAGAGAATTATTTTTTTTCACTTTCCAACTGGTTTCATAATGCAAGTGTACATTTACATGAATTGATGGCAGTTTGTAAAAAAGAACTTTTGCCAAAAGATTTGCGTATTTTGTGCACTTGTGTATAATCTGCAAGTACTTTTTTGGTGAAAAACTTTATCAAAGAAATAAATGTGGTTTTTCCTTTTTTTTTTTTTTTTAAAAGCTTGGGTATATAATTGTTTTAAAAATTGAAACTTTACTGACAGCTTGCCATCGAAAGATTTTACTTTAGAGGAAACCAGTTATTTGGGGTTGCAATATTTTTTGGAAATACAAGAAAAATATCTGTTGTACATTTGTTCAATATTTATATTAATACGAAGATATTTCTTTGACTTAATTGTGTACCAAAATAGCAATTTAAATATATTTGAATATCATAGAAATTATAGTACCAAAATAGCAATTTAAATATATTTGAATATCATAGAAATTAATACAATGTATGTAGGTGCTAATATAATCATTGCATGTCTGTTTTGGCCATACAGCAGATAACTCTTTGATACAATTTATACATAGTAGAATTAATTTAAATATAAGTAGAATTTTTGGTAAATTTATTTTGAGAAGTTGGTTACAAAATTTGCCAACAGTAATTATCTCCCCTGACATCTAGGGAGTTGTTACGTAGCATTCAAGTTATATAAGGTCTTAATCAGTGCATGATAACTTTTAAACAGTTTATCGGACAATCTTACAAAATTAATAGCACTGAACTAAGCATGCTATGCAGTTAAAATATCAGGGTCCATGTTTCTGTTCAGTCAAACTCGGGATTCCTTAATGGATGGGTTTGAACATGATTTTCTATGATACATGTATGCATAGTGATATGTTATTTCATTATTGTGTTTCTACTTTTATGAAGTAATAAAATAATCATTTGAAAGTCTTTGATGGCACTTACTCAATAAAGTACAACAACAAAAAAACATACCTGGGAATGTTCAAAAAAAAAAAAATATCTATCTTCCAATTTTCAAATAAAATTTTCCAAAATAAAATGTAATTTTGATATAATCATGTTATTACTAGGGATTCCAAATGCATGACATTGTTAAAAACTATCATAACAAAATCTGAATAGTTTTACTTACTACTATTTTATAGAAAATATACATCACTGATAATTAAGATACGAAAGTTGGTTGTTGAAGGGAGATCACTCTCTTTTAACACCGGAATATTAATGTCTGGAATATTGTTTTAGTCAACTATGATATTTTATTGTCAAGGTAGCATGCCCGAGTGTGTTTGTAATTGTAACCATGACAACACCATTACTAAAGAATGAACATGTGCATGATATATCAGTTGAATACATATAGTACATCACATGTGTTATAATCTTTGATAAGAAAATCTGTATCTATCACAAACAAAAGAATTGTCAAACATTATTTATTTTACAACAATTATGAAACAAGTTCTGTTAACTTAAAATAATCACTCTTGTTTGCTCGGATGGTGGCGTGCGAGCTTGAGAGGGTCTTAATGTGGGAGGAACTGGGAATTAGAGATACCTTTTCATGTCTGATCAGGGAATCGAACCCTGGCTCCCTGGTGTAAGGCAAGTGCGTTGTTCACTATGCCACCCTTCAGGGGTGAATGAGTTCAACACCTTGCCTCTCCTTTATCTCAAACCAAGAATTTGCATTTTTTCTACCTTAATTAGATGTGTGAAGACTATTAATTAACTCATTCACCCCTGAAGTTTCATAATGAACTATTCCAGCCTATGAATTGGAAGAGTTTAAATGTGTCTTCAGGGGTGAATGAGTTAATGAAACAAACTGATTGAAATATTTAATCAGACGAAACTTTACAAGTGATGTACAATATGATATTGACGGTTGCCGACCTTGATGTTTATTTTTGTGTACTCTGTTGATAATTTGTGTCCTACCATGTTTAAATATGAACTGTTGTTTGATGTTTGAGTGACCTTGACCTATATTGACTAACAATTTCACAACCCTGATTTATTCCAGAAATTCCATTAATGTTGTAAACGGTAACAACAACAAAACCATGACACGGAACTCCACACTTACTAGGTCCTTTAGGAGCTCTTCCGTAACGGAAACTACGGGGCCAAAAACGAAGCTTAGCTTCCGGGTAAGGGAAGGCGTAGTATATATACCTACATGTATATACGGCTTTATCTATATTGTATCTCAGCTTTTATCTTCAGCCTGACAGGCCCTGTCACCAATAATTTTCAGTGAGGTGTATACAAGATGGTTCAGGGGAGATAATTTTTCAAAAAAGATCCTACTAAAAACCTAGTTTGTTGGGGGAAGGGGGGAAATATTATAACAAAAAATTGTTTTGGGTATATTTCTATAGTATCTTTGTTCACTTTTGATAATACTTCAGGCAGGATTTTTATTTGCAATGGTGGAAGCTTGTGTTCACAACAAGTCAGGTTTTTAATTTGCTTGTTAAAGATACTTAGAATCTAAGAACTTAAATGTTTCAAAAATTATTTTTTTAAGATTTTTTTTTAGTATCTGAGTAAAAGATAGACCTTGTGCAATATTTCTTCATATTTTCTAAATATCAGAAAAATGTTTTATGAAAGGTAGTTATTAAATTTTATTATACAGTTAATTATATTCTGATTTTCAATGAATCTGCATCATTTTTGAACAATTTTTGAGTGTTTATCAATTTTGTATATAATAGGTTCGAAAAAATCTGTTTCTTCAGACTCTTCAACTGTATAAGAAATATTTTTCATCGTCAAGCTTACACCAAGAACATATGGCTTAGCAGCCTTTAATTTTCATTTTGTAGCTAACTTTTAATTTCCCATGATGCTTTAGGGTTTCTAAATCGTGCATGTAGATGAGAAGTTACCTTTCGCTCACCGTTAAAACTAAACACCTCATTGACTATTAAGGGTTCCAGGTATAGAATTATATCCAAATCTATATTGTAATTGCAGTGTGCATTCAAATATAGATATTATATATATATATATATCCATATCTTTCAAGATTAAAAACTTAGGAAAGTGCATCTCCCTATTATGTGTGTAGTCCATTATATCTAATAGCATAATCATATTTAGGTTATAATTCCCTCCATTTTCTTGGGGGGAGATTTTTCAAAATTCCAGAATTTTTCTATCAAATCATTTTTTTTTAATAAAAAATCCTTTCCAGCAAATATATGCATCATGAATTCTCATTGGTCAGTCATCTATTTACTCTGTAGAGACAATATGAATTCTTATTGGTCAGTCACCTATTTACTCTGTAGAGACAATATGAATTCTTAATGGTCAGTCACAAATTTCTGTTGATATAATTTGAATGGTCATGGTCAATTAACAATTTCTGTTAATGTAATATAAAAACTCACTATCCAATGAATTAATTGCCTGTCTACTGAAACATCTTGACATGCAGGAGCAGAATATACGGTTTGCCGTTACATGTGTTTTTAGGTCACCTGAGCTTTAGTTCAAGTGACCTATTGCTATCTGTTTTCGTCCGTCGTCGTCCGTCGTCCGTTAACATTTTACATTTCCAACTTAAAGTCAAGTTCTGCTGGGCCGATTGAACTGAAAGTTGGTAGGAATGATCGCCTCATGGTCCTGACAAAGTGTTGTTATTTTTCAGGTCAATCAGAAATCCAATATGGCCGCCACGGCCGCCATTTTGAAAAACTATTTCAAACTTAAAGTCAAGTTCTGCTGGGCCGATTGAACTGAAAGTTTGTAGGAATGATCGCCTTATGGTCCTGACAAAGTGTTGTTATTTTTCGGGTCAATCAGAAATACAATTTGGCTGCCATGGCCGCTATTTTGCTACTAAGTTCTAATAGGCCGATCTCACTTAAAATTGGTCTAGGAATGATCAGCTCATGGTCCTGACAAAGTTAAGTTAACATTATACTATTTTTTACTCAAATTGGTACATATTTCAACAACAAAAATAAATACTGTAGACTCAGGTGACCATTAAGGCCCATGGGCCTCTTGTTATTTTTTTTCATAATATATATTTGATTTAAACTTAATCCAAAGACAAACGAAAATGTACAGGGTTTTCTGCCATTGTTTACAAGAACATCTAGTTTCAACATCGTGAACGATAATTTCAAATTATTTTCCCAAACAAAATTTGCATTTGTAGTAAAATAACTATATATATGTCTAGTATGAAAAATACGGCTAATTTGTCTGCATGTTCTGTCTCTGTGTGTATGCTATAACCTATAACCTACACATGTACTCGTGGTAGCTATTTAATATGCATGTAATTAAAATACCATGGTCGGGTGATTTTATTAAACTTTCATCAAATCACATGTAGGATGACGAAATAATAAAACAAATGATAAACTTTTACATGTATGGTTTAAAGAGTAGTCATTGATACAAATATACCTGGTATACAACCCACAACAATGTTTAGGAAAATACCATCTTGAACTGGAATTGGGGTTTCTTTCTGTCTGTTTGTCTTTCTGTAGATGCACATTCGTTGGGACTATTTCTCCTGTGGTACTACTCAAATTTCGATTAGATTTTATAAGTATGAAATACAATTAAATAATGTGATTCATTTTCCTTTCAAAATGTTTTACAGGGTTATGCCCCGTACATAAAAAGCACTGTATAGAATCATTGTACATGTCAGCATGCCAGGTGCTTGTTAAAAGTTTTTCCTATGGAGTTAAAGGGTATTAGTTATAGCCTAAGGGATATGATTCTGTTCTCTTATACATATATATGTATATGCATGGCCCTGTATTTCAAAATTACTGGAATGATGTATATTCAATATAAGGGGTTCGTCATATTGTCAACAGCAGAATTTCACAAGCTGTACTCATTAGAAAACCATCAAATATATGTGTGTACAACCCATAACACATATTGGGACAAAGGTTTTTCTTCAGAATTAAAAAAAAAAGATGTTCCTATAAAAATCTTGATCAAAATCTTGGGACTTAATACAATGTATTTAATTTTCCATTTCATACAACATAACTATGTTTTTTTTACATGTTTTTCCAAGTACAATTAATACATTAATTGTTTTAATGTGTCTTCAAAAATTATTTCTTTTTAATTCTGTGATTTTTCAATCAGATTTGTCCAATGATTATCATAGTATAGTCTATATACAGTTTCATTATCATTTGTGTTTAACTGAGCATTCTAATAAGAAGTTTTTGTTTAAAGACAGTTCAAATACCTGCATTGCAATTCAAAAGAAGGGGGACAACTCCAGGAATCTTGGCAGGTCTTATCAGTTCTTTACCCAAAATATCCAAGACATGAAACAGAAACTTCAACAGTGTTGCTTTACAGAGAAGACAGTTGTATTGTGCATTTGTCCTTCCAATTTCAAAAATCTCTCCAATTAGACTGTCTAGTTGTTGACCCCACCAAGGATGGCAACTGGAAATAAGTTAGGAAGATGAAAGAGTGGGAAATATTTCATGTGTAAAATATACCAGTAACGAAATATGCGAGAAAACAAAAAAATCAGGATACATTTGAATATTAATCCTTTCAACACTGTAGACCATAATGGACTCATCCATATCAATGCATGGTATAGTCTACTCAAGTTACACAGGGTTAAAGTTGGAATGTGGATTGACTAGTGTAAAAGACTTGCATGGCATTAGCAGGATTCCCTTTCATGAATATGACATAAATGACATCATTTTAATTCTCCTTATAAGTGATTGGTTCAATTAGGAAAATGGTATAGTCAGTTTTGGAGTTAGATTGAGGCCTAAGGAAGTTTGAGAATGGAGATAAGAGTGATGCGACTGCATGTTTTGATACCTAGTCTATGTCGCTTTACTTATTTCTATGGAATGTCAGTCTGAATAATACGATAGAGCAAAGACAAATAAAACAATTGTAGACTTTTGTTGAAGTCAATTTGTGGTTTTATTAACCTTACAAAAAAAGGTATTTTAACCTCATACTTTGTGCCTGGTACTGTTTTCCGGGTCAATAAAGCTATATTATTACATGTTCCTCAACACAAAAGCTATAATTGTGAAATATTGATATATTTCATATGAAATACCCATCGTTATAAATGATACTTGATCGTTGATTGCGGAAACAAAAACTTTATTGACCTCTGTATCTTATCTCTAATTCACAGGGATCTCTTGGCAGGGCCTTCGGAAGGAAAGTCCGAGAAGACATGAAAAGTTTCTCCTTCGAGGAGACAACACCCAGAAGGAAAATCTCAGCCCCAATGAACTTTCAGCACAATTCACTACAATCAGTATTCGAAGTGGAGAAAGTGAAAACAAACTCCTAGCATTTATGGATAATTTTGTAGACTACTACAAGTATATATAATTCCTAGTTCTCAAACCCTGTGGAAAAGTGCAATTTTTTTGTGTTAAAAAAAACCTTTTTTGTATCAAGACATACAAGGATCTTCATATCACTGACATTTTGGCTGTGGAGAATCATCTGTTCATTGGTCCACTCTTACTGGAGCTTATTAGCACATGTAAATGTGTTGGGGTATTGCAGGTTTGGACTTGACATTTCTGATGTCCCTTTCCCATTGTAGACCATAATGGACTCATCCAGATTAATGCATGGTAGAGTTTACTTAAGTTACACGGGGGTGAAAGGGTGGAGCAATCTTAGCTGCATCAATGTTACAAGAGCATGCTCAATTGAAGTAAAAGAATATGTTATTGATTTCATGCAGTTTTTATGAAATCGTGTTTTAAAGAAACAAAAAGAAATTATGAGTTTTTGTTTTAGATAATTAAAAGTCAGAGGCAAATTTGTGACATAGGGGTACATTTATTTGCATAATGGACGTATATCTTTCAATGAACAGTATTCATAGGGGTAAAATCTTATTTGCATAATATATACATATGAATACATTTAATAATAATATTTACATCAAATGCTTAAAGTGCTCGGGATATACATGTATTATATTTATTGAAGCATATGTAAGACTCATTGTTATATTTTACAATGTAACACAAAGTAAGCTCAGTTAAATTTATTTATATTTATCATAATTGAATAAAAATTCAAGTTGTTCCTGAGAGGGAGATAACTTTTTAGTGAAATTCGATTTCTTTTATCTATTATTTATTTGATCCAAACAAAAATCTAATGTGTCTATATGACTTTAAATCGAATGGAGTTTATGGACAAATTTGATGAATAAACTATATGCACTTGATACTCTTTTTGATACGAGTTACTATAATAGGTCAATTTGATAGTGAATTATGGATACATTTTATAAGATTATTACATTTCTATTATAATCTTAAATTCATTTTTAGATCTTTTTGTCTACTTTAAAATTGCATTTGCTCAAAACATTTTCCATGACGAGAAACACCCGCTGCGTGATAGAGATTTCAATAATAATGGCACATTTTTATGAACAATTTTTCAAAGAAAAATTGTTTTTTTAATAAAACAGGAATATGTCAATGTTTTGTGTTGAAACAAAACTTTTTTAATTTAAAAGTGGTTAAATTAAATACAGTTATATATATTTAAATACATTTATGAATATTTGACAACAGTATGAATATTTAAATACAGTTGAATATTTAAATACGGTTATGAATATTTAAATACAGTTATGAATATTTAAATATGGTTATGAATATTTAACTACAGTTATGAATATCAATTACAAATCAAATGAATCATACATGTCTATATGGATGGTGTCTATTGTGCAATTATTCTCCATGAATCAAATTGTTTACATGACCATTATACAATAGTGGAATTATTTTAATATATACAATCACATATTTTATCAAATTTATGATCATAATTATAATTGAAAATATCTGTTATCAATTTTTTTTTATTGACGCATGTTGTCATTTTGTTTAAAGCAGATCATTTTTACTTTGTTTTATTTTTATTGTAAATTACAACCAATATTTGGAAGGAGAGTTTAAATCTGTGACATTAGTGGACTTTGAATAGAATAGATTTTGAATAGTTTAAGACCCTTTTTGTGAGACAATTTTATTTAGAATATATACATTTTTATTAGTTTAATATGGATGAGCATGTACTCGCTTTAAAATTCTAAGGTTGACACTTAATTTTAGATCATATTTTAAAATTGCTTGTTGTATGAGTTTTAATATTTTCGAAAAATGACATGATTGATTGGACAGAAAGCAGGTGTATATGCCCATGGGGTTCTTTATATTTTTTATGTTTGAATAAAAACAATATTTTTATATAAATTTTTTAGGGATAAACTTTCACTTGTACTATATTTCAAAAATAAACTTGATATAAGAAATGAAGCAACCAAGAACATAGAAGTTGACTATACTAACTAGCTAGTAATAAAATTTGTGAAATTTTCAATGTTCTCTTTCAAAATTTGTGTAGATATAAAACAATCAGTACTTCCTAAAATATCTGATAGGTTTTTCTGTTTCTGCATGATCATGATAAAAAACAATTTTAGATGAAATGGCCTCACCATGGCTGTGATTGCAATTTTTATCTGAATTTGTTTGAACATGTATTGTTTTCTTTTTAAAAAGGTGTTCCCGAAGATTTGTTTTTAAAAAAAAATGATTATCATGGTTTTTTTTTTGTTATTATGAAATAAGAAATGGATAAATGAAATACAGAGAGTGTTATCTTAAGACATACATGCACTTCAGAATCCCATCTTCAGATAGGTGAAAACCAACCTGGGTAGTGCATTTTCTGTGCATGGATACAGAAAAAGTAAACTCTAACATTGGGGATGGCTTGACGAGTGGGAAGATTTGTAAATTATTATTCTGTAAATCATATAAAGTGTATAAAAAGTATTACATACAGGGACTCGACTAAAGTAGCTACTTTGGCATTCCTAAATTTTGCCATGTGATACATTTTAAAAGGTTGGTAAAAATGCCACAAAGGAAAGGCATCGAAATTTCAAATCACTGAAAGTAGTGGTTCAAACTGTAGCTATTAGAAATATTGTTTGAGAGTTATTTCCCCTGTAATGATTGTAGATGAGTTGTATATTATTGTCTGTGAGTTCTGTAGCTATTAGAAACGATTGTTCGCAAGTTTTCTCCCTGTAATTATTGTATTTATGGTATTATCTGCTCCGTTGACCCACTCACCCCTGAAATTTCATAATGAACTATTTCAACCTATGGATTGGAAGAGTTCAAATTTGTCTCCAGGGGTGAATGAGTTAAGATTGCGTATGATAGTTATCTTCCTTGTAAGAATTGCGAGTGAGAGTTATTTCCCTTGTTAGGATTGTATGGGAGTTATCTCCCCTGTAAGTATGTATTGGAGTTATCTCCCTTGTAAGGATTCTATGAGGGTAAGGATGTCGTATAAATTATCATGATCTCATCATGTAAGTGAAATATTACAAATAATTGAGTTGAAGTGTGAGAGCACAGGACACAGGTGCTATATATTTAACAGGTGACAAGCGCCTTTTTCTTTGTAGAAAAAATGGTGAGATAGCCTGAAATGTATAGTGCCTGGTGCCTGTGTGTGAGGACATGCTTGATGGTTTTACATTTTACGGCTCTTACTTATTGTGATACAAGCATTTTATCATTGTACATTTGTCATTTTGATTGTAAATATAAATACTTTTATGTGAAAATGTTGAATGCTTTTGGCAAACAGTGTTGAATATAGTAAAAACCAAATGTTAAATAATGTCTTGTCTTCTGTTCTGTTTTGAGCTCACCTCGTAATATGTGTGTGGGAATTTGGTTGCTGCACAGCTTCCCTCCACTTTTGGTTTGTATTTAATGACTAATTCTTAAAAACTATAAAGTCTAAGGTCATGATGTTTGGGTTGAAGCTTTCTGATATTAATAGTCGCAGAGGTTAAATGTGTGTAAAATTAAAACCTTTTCTCAAGAACCACAAACGCTGAAGTAATTCTATCTGATGGATAAATGAATCTCTATCTAGTTTTTTAACGTGCATTACGTTGACCTACATTCATGGCCAAAGAAATAAAATGTCTTTTAAATATTCCAACGACTTCTGCTAAAGATTCGGTATACCCAAGCAATGATGTTGGCTGGTGGCTCCATTGCAGCGATCAAACCCATTTTATCTCACCTGGCCCGAATGGCCAAGTGAGCTTTAAAAAATCTTTAAACAACTTCTGAATATAACCAAGAGTCGCAGGATGATGACATATATTCATGGTCACAGGGGTCAAATATGTTTAAAATCTTTAAACAACTTCTTCTGAATAACCAAGAGTCGCAGGATGATGACATATATTCAAGGTCGCAGGGGTCAATTGTCTTAAAAAATCTTTAAACAACCCTTTCTCAATAAACTATAGGCCTAGGATAATGATATTTGGCCAGTAACATGCTGTGATAAAGGGCTACAAAGTTTGTTCAAATGAATGACCTTTATATATATTCAAGGTCACAGGGATCAAATATGTTAAAAACTTTAAACAACTTCTGAATAACCATGAGTCGCAGGATGATGATATTTGGCCAGTAGCATGCTGGGATCAGGGGCTACTAAGTTTGTTCAAATAAATGACCTTCCTTTTTAGCTCACCTGGCCCGAAGGCCAGTAGGTACCTGGGGTGGAGTGAAGTTTCCTCATTAAAATGACCTTGACCTGCTTTCAAGGTCACAGCGGTCAAATATGTGAAAATTTTCAAACAACAATTTCCTAACAACCATTTGAGCTAGAGTCATGATACTTGGGTATGTTATGAAGACCATCAGTGCAATTTTTTTTCTCAATTACAGTAATGATGTCAAAGGTCAACTTTAAGTGCAAGTTGGGGTCAAAGGTCAACATGAGTCAAAGGCTTTAACAATCTTCTTTTCAATTTCCATAAGGTTCAGGGTCATGATATTTGGCCAGTAGGTACCTGGGATGAAGTGTTATAAATTTTCCTCATTAAAATGACCTTGACCTACTTCCAAGGTCACTGGTGTCAATTATGTTAAAAACTTCAAACAACAATATCCTATGAACCATTTGGACTAGAGTCATGATACTTGGGTATGTTATGCAGACCAGCTTTGTGATTTATTACAGTAATAAGGTCAAAGATCAACTTTAAGTGCAAGTCGGGAGTCAAAGGTCAATATGAGTTAAAAGCTTTAACATTAAAATTTCAAGTTTCGAACAACAATATCTTCAGAATCGTTTAAGAGATGTTAAAATGTCTTGTGTTGTAGTTACCAAATTTGATCTTAAGTTACCTATATGTCAGTTGCATGTAACAAAAGAAACAGGGGAGCGATACAGGCCCTCTGGGCCTCTTGTTTTTCAAGGTCACAGAGATCAATTTCTTAAAAAATCTTTTAAACAACTTCTCACTAACTAAGAGGTCTAGGATAATGATATTTAGCCAATAAC